TGATAAATGAAAAATTGCAAACAGATTAACGACTTTCCATATATTGATGAAGAGGTTAAAGAATTCTAAACTAGAAGATTTTATGCAATTGGAATTGATAAATATAGAGAATACTCAAGTATTTTTAGTGACTTATCAAAGTCTCATTAAGATGCTTAAAATATGTAATTACAATTCACGAAAAAATTTATTCATCCGGATCGTGTAAAGATAATTACTGATAAAATTGATAAAAATCCTTGGCAAGAAGTTCAAAAATGCATTGATATAATAAGAAATAATGCTAAGAATAATGCGAAATTAAATCAAGAGTCAAAGAAAGTGCTAAACATTATCTACTATGCAGGACATGGAGTGATAAACTAGCGCAGAGAGACCTTTGGAGTAATACCCTATCATTATAAAATTCATAAAAAAGCTGGTAATAAAGACGCAAGGAAGGGAGTGAGATACTTCAATTTTTCAGATTTACATAATGAAATGGCCAAGTATGTAAATTCTGTTACAGTTATAATACTGGATTGCTGCAGAAAGTAATTAAAGGAATTATATCCTAAGCTAAAAATTGGAAGAAGTGTTCCAAATTCATTACCAGGCATTTCATATTTAATTTAAGCAGTATATGAAGATTAATCAGCTCGTGCAGGGCCAAAAGGTGGCATTTTTACATAATAATTACTTAAACTAATACAAGAGAAGAGGAAATAAGGAGTATATAGCCAAAAGATTTTTAATTCCTTAGATAATCGCGTTCTGACTACATCAAAAATTTCAACTGAAAAATTCGGTTACTATAATATCTTTGGACCACGAGTTAAAGGTGCAAGTATTATTAAATAAAATGATGATTTCAAAAGTAAAGATTCATCCAATACTTCAATTAAAAGTTCAGATGATTCTATAACTTAAATTGATTAACGTAGCGTAAATTAAGCTTGTGATACGATTTAGCTTAACCAGTATTAGAAAGATATTTCTAAGTAAAATCAATTTTGTTCAGAAAAAAATTAATAAACAATTATCAACTTTATAAGCAATGAGATTGAAGATATCATCTAATATGCTTTTAAGAATTTTAAATTCTCTGAAAAACAAAAATTAATGATTAAAAAACTCATATAGTAAATATCAAAATTAAGCTAGATAGATAGAAAATAAGGCTAGTTATTAAAAACATAAGGGCAATATTCACTGGAATAGTTATCATGGACCTTGAGCACATGCTTAAAACATTTTTTCCATAATAACAAATCAATATCATAAATGCTCAATCTTAAACCTAATCCTAATATTGATAAATTAATTTAAATCCCTGATTGCTTTGGATCCTTTGTTACTTTAAAGTAGTTCGAATCAAATTCATCTGAATTCACATTGTTCCTTTTTAGAAATGAACCATACTTTTCAGGTAAAAAGATAAAAGATTTAAAAATTGAAAAAGAATACAATCCATACAAATTAATAATACCTCTAAATTCTGATGATAATTTTAAGTAACTTTTTAAGAATTCTCATTGCCTAAAACTAATTTTGTGTAATCAGTCAAGAATTTTTGCTTTTGTTAATTATACCTAATTGAATATCTTTAAATTGGGACCAAAAAAATACTAAGAAGTGTATTTAGAGAATTAAAATAATAAATAGGAAAATCAAAAACCAAAATTCAATTAGATCATAATCGCTTAGATTAAAAATCCTGCTGAAGAATTGAATATTTTGCTAAAGAGTAATTTGAAATTTAACACTGACTACCCGGCAATAGCGAGAATTGATCATTAAATTTTTATTGCTGGAGGTTATTTTAAAGGTTTGTGGATGCAATCACTACATAGTTTTGGCCTAGATTCAACTTATAAAAAACCAATTTTTTTGACTCAATTTGAAAATTCCTTGAAAACTCCAACTATGCTTTGCAATAAAGTATAATCCTCAGAGATAAATAAAGGAGGATTGTAATTTTTCTATTTGGGTCAAGCTGATAAATTCACTAAAATGAACTACTATTTTGAGTCATATCCATATTCAGATGAAATAAGTTAAGATAACATTTTAGAATAAAATAAATATGCCTATTTAAATACTGATTCAATTAACAGGCAACTTGAGGATTTCAATTACAATTATTCATACCCAGCTATGTTTATTTACAATCAAGAATATCTAGTATTATTTGGAGGTATTGACGTATTTACTCGGAAAATTACTAATAGATTACTATTAATTGACATAAAAGATTTAAAGAACCCTACAGTTTAAAAAATAAGTTAAGTGTATTCAGATGGTTAGAATCATAAAGATTACTTCTAAAGCAATCAAGTATCTCAATTTAATAATACATTCAGCATGAGAGGAGAACATGGAATTTATGATGCCAAAATCAAAGGACTATCATATAATACAATAACTATTAAAGTTAAGAAAATATTGAAATTTTGAATGTTGATTAGATATTATGATTTTCTTAATCACTTTAGTCAACCTAATTCTATTTAATTGCATTAGGACTAACTATTAAAGTATCATTATCATTTTTAATATTTTATATAAATATATCTTGCTTTGAAGTATTTTTATTAGAGTGAAATTATTTATCCTCTAAATATATTTGGGTACTTTATTTAATATGTTTTTCACCCTTATTAAAAGGTTATACCACATAGAGGGGTTTTGGGGTTTTGGGG